CCCCTCCCCCTCTTCTGCATTTGTTACATAAAAAGAGGAAAAGGGGAAGGAAAAAAAAAAAAAAAAAGAAAAAAAAAGAAAAAGAAAAATGCATTCCAGGCTGCACCGCCGGACCAGCCCGGGTGAAGTTTTCCTTGACTGCAGCGTCCACTCAAACCATTTATAACCCTCCAGCATCGCTCCCATCGCCAAAGGGGACCGGGCGGTGCGGGTCACCCCAGGGATGAGCAGGCCACGCCGGGGATGAGCGGGGTTCCTCTGCCCCGGGGGTCCCTGCAGTGTCGTAACCCGGGGAGTGCGTTCCCCACAGCATCGTGAGCCCCCAGCCATTCGCTTCGGGGGGGTCATTGAAGAAGTGTGGGTGAGGTGTCCCTGCTTAGTCCCCACAGGTCCTGTCGCAGCAGGTGGCTGAGCATCTCTGGCTGAGCCTCCGAGGGGGGCTGACACCCCATCCTGATGTTGGCCGGGCTCAAGCTTGTGCCAAAACCACTTTGGCTGATGATCCTGTGCATGGTGCTCCCCGGAGGTGGTGGCACTCCAGGCCAACCAAGGGCTCGGGGACATATCCCAGTTGGCATCGCCCGGCTCCTACATGGGGGGTGTCATCCCGGCAGGGTGGTTCCAGCCTGCCTTTGGGGTGCCGTCTGTTTACAATAATGGTTGTAAACACAGCTTTCATTGTTGCATCACTCCTGATTAATGGGAGGAACTGGTCCTGTCCTCGCACCCAGCATCACCTCAAGCTGGTGCCCACAGGAGCCCCCCAGCAGATCTGTATGGTGGAGGAAGAGCCAACAGCTCTCCTTGTCCCATGGGCGTGCAGCAGCCCCCGGCCAGGGTTCAGCTGACCAGGGCTGGGACCTCTCACCATCACAGCATCGGTGCTCCCAGTAGTTTTTTGGGAAAGACCAGGATTTTCTGAGGGTGGTAACAATTTGTGGTGCTTGTTTTTTTTCCTCCCACTGCAGCTCCTCGGTGCTCGTGTGCTGCCCGGGATGGAGGCAACAAGGAAGCGAGTGTTTAATAGGTAAGCACGGGTGTTTTGCTTTGTTGGACACTTCTCATCTGCCCATCCTTTGCTGAGCCTTCCTGGCCACTGTCAGGAGGTCACCCTGATGTGCCGGGCAGGGAGGAGCCGTGCCTGCAGCCGAGCTCCCCGGGGATGCTGGAGGTTGCCCTGCCTCCCTGCAGTGCTCGGAGCCAGCAGCGTGTGGATGGAATGGGTGCTCAGCCCCAGTGTTGGGGTGCTGGTCGCAGAGCCCAGCCCTGGGGTACCCCCTGCCCCCACAGTGATGCCCTGGGGTGCCCCGGTGGGCGCCTGTGTGAGGAGCATCACCTCCGCTCCCAGGCTGGGAGGTTTCTCTCCATGCCGGCTAGCTTTGGCTCTAAGGATTTGGGGGTGCTGCTCTGGGACCCAAGGGATGGCAAGGTGTCCCCCAGGGTGAAGCGTGGGGACAGGGAAGGTGCAGCTGCAGGGGTGGGACCCAGAGAGGTCCCACGGGTGCTGCAGCATAAGGAGCCAAGCCGGAGCCGCTGTGGAGGAGAAGCCACCAGGACCAGGCACGTGTCCATCGTGGCCCCACTGGGGAGAGGCTGCCGGGGCAGGCAGGCTGTCAGGCTGTGGCCACCAAGCCTGCAGCCAGGGTAGCCCCAGCTGGGGCCTAAACCGGACATTACAGCTCTTACCGGGGGCCACGGCGAGCCTGGGGTGGATGCTCAGCATGAAGCCCTGGGAGGTCTCACCCCCTGTGCTGCCGCCATGCCACGATGCAGGCGGCTGTTTGGGGGTTCCTGTGCTACTCCCCGCAGTCTCCGCTGGCCACGGGGCTCACCTCGCCCCAGGAGAGCCGGAGGAAGCTCTGCGCACCGGCCCGGGGCATCAGCAGTTTGCAGCCGGCGGCGAAGACCACGTAACCAACTAACCCACCGTGCATGAGCCCTCGTAACCGCTCGCTGCATGCGTTGGGAACGGGACGCGGTCCCTTCGGCGCGCCAGCAGGAAGGGAGAAGGACAGGGTCTGCCAGGACAGCGGGGGGGAGGACGGTCCCACCAGCGAGCTGTCCCCATCTCCTCACCCCCCCCGAACCTGCTCTAACCGTTAGACTCACTGCTCCTAACCTGTGTAATCTGTCTATTTTAGGGGTTTCTATAGTATCCATCACCGTAGGTCTAAGAACTCCCAGGTAAGGTGGATGGGGTGGGTGGTCTGCTCTCCCTCTCCCGGTGGCCGAGGAGGCTTGTCCAGGGCCCTGCGGGATCTGCCTGCGCCTGCCTGCACCCTGGTGCTGCCTGTCCCACCTTCTGCGACTGCCCCGCGCCGGGCATCAGCCCCAGCCCAAGCTCCCAT